GACTCCAGGATCATGACCTGAGCCGAAGGCAGTCGCTCAACCGACTGAGCCACCCAGGCGCCCCTATACGGCACTGTTTTCTAATCTGCGGACCATATTCAAATTTTGCCAGTTTGTCCTCCTCCGGTCTTTCTGTGGTCCAGGGTCCCCTGGTGCATGTGGTTGTCAAGTCTCTTTACTTTCGTCTGGGACAGTCTCTCAGTCTTCATCTTCCTCGACCTTGCCATTTTTAAAGCGTTCAGGCTAGTTATGTCGTAGAATGCCCCTTAATTTGGATTTGTCTGATGTGCTTTCTCGATTAGATTCAGGTCTTGTGTTTTTGACAGGACTGGCACAGAAGTGATGTTGCATCCTGATGCCTCCCATCAGGAGCACCTCTATTGATGCATTTCATCGACTGGCAATGTTCTCTTTCTCCACCGTACAGGGACGATTTCCCCCTTTTTAATTAATATCTTACAGGAAGATGTATGAGACTATATAAATAACCTCCTTTCCATCATACCTTTTGCCCACTGATTTTACATGTCATGTATTCACTGTTCTTGCCTGGAAAAATTACTCCTGTGATATCTGCCCAGTGGTGATTTCCTACTTCCATAATTCCCTTTTCCCATCTGAGTACTAACCAGGCCTGACCCCGCTTAGCTTCTGAGATCAGACGAGATTGGCGCGTTCAGGGTGGTATGGCCGTAGACCTTAATTCCCTTTTCATTTATTAGGTGGGAGCCTTCTCTAAGGAAGAGCTTTCCCTTCTCATTCATTCATTCATTCATCATTCATTCATTCATGTCAGAATGGGTGATAGTTCATTACTACTATTTATTTTGTTGCTTAAATTGTCCCAAATTTGGCTAGTTGGGCACCTGTTCAAATTGGTTCTTGTGTCCTTTTGATAGTTCCTATTTTTGAGTACTTCCTTTTTTTAAAATGGTGTTTTTATTTAAATTCCAGTTAACATACAGTGTAAAATTGGTTTCAGGTGTAGAATTTACTGATTCAGCACTTCTTACGTACAATATCAGGTGCTCCTCACAAGCGCCCTCCTTAATCCCCTCACCTAGTTCACCCATCCCCCACCCCTCTGGTAACCATCAGTGTGTTCTCTGTAGTTGAGTCTGTTTCTTGGGGGGAAAAAAGTTTTGTTTCTTTGTTTGCCTCCCCCCCCATTCATTTGTTTAGTTTCTTATATTTTTAAAGATTTTTTATGTATTTATTTGAGAGAGAAAGAGCGAGTGAGAACAAGAGCAGGGTGGAGGGTCAGAGGGAGGGAGAGAAGCAGACTTCCTGCTGAGCAGGGAGTCCGATGCAGGGCTCGATCCCAGGACCCTGGGATCATGACCTGAACTGAAGGCAGCCGCTTAACCGACTGGGCCACCCAGGCGCCCCCATCTCACTTCCTTATACTTTTTGACACCAGAATATGAAGACTCATCCTGTACTTTCCCAGCTGTTTTTCATAGGGGCCCTGATTCTCTTTTATTGTAGAGTGGTATTTGGAAGCCAAGATCTGGGTACTGGCTGTGCTTATTTGTACTGGTATAGCATTATTTGTATGGCTAATTGCTAATTAATTCGTGCTCTAGTTGAGCCCTTGCTCTACAACCTCATATTTATGTGAGGTTTATATATTATATGAGGTATATATATATATATACACACACATACTCTTCTCTCTCCGGTAGTTTTTTTAAATTAACTTTTTATTTTGGAATAATATTTAAACTTCTAGAAAAGTAGCAAAGATAATACAGAGTTCCTATGTGTGCATCATCCATTTCCTGTAACGTTAACATCTTGTATAACCATGGTACCTTTATCAAAACTAAATAATTAACCCCGATGTATTGCTGGTAACTAAGCTCTGCGATTTATTTGGATTTCACCAGTTTTCCCACGAATGTTCTTTTTTTGTTCTAGGATCCTGTCCAGGATCCCACGTTGAATTTAGTGCCCCTGTGGGTCTGTACTAGTTTCTTAGTCTTTGTTTCTCATGACCGTGACACTTCTGAAGAGTTCTAGTCAGGTATCTTGTAGAATGCCCCTCAGTGTGGGTTTGTCTCATGTTTTCTCGTGATTTGATTAGAGTAATGGATTTTTGGGCAGAGTACCAATAAGGTGAGTTGCGAGGTGCCCTTCTCATCACTCAAGGGGCACCTGATAACAACATGGCCTGGGGATATTAACCTTCATCACTAGGCTTAG